CTACCGCCGTGGCAGTGGCAGGTGATAGAATGCGATATATTCTTCGCCGAAGTGACGAAGCATGCACCTATTGCACATATGCACACATACTTCATGGAACTTAAACACAAATACGTTTGCCCTGAATTTTTTACAGATGCCTCTAAGTCTTTCACTTCTGTGTCCTATGCAGCTGTAGGGCCATCCTTTTGAGCTTCCGGTATTCTGCAACCACAAACAAGCATTTTCACCGCAGAAGCTCATGCGCTATCTGTTGCTGCCAGCCATAATAAGGAATTAAGACTAGAACGCGCGGTTATATACACGGACTCTCTGATTGTTGTAACAGCTTTGAAAACAATGAACAAACATAAAAATCATGTGCTGGTATCACTTTACTCGCTTTTATGTGCAATCTACGTACTCAAACGTCATGTTGTGCTGTGCTGGGTGCCAGGGCACCACGAGATTGCTGGAAACCTGGCCGCGGACCAGCTCGCTGTATCTGCGCACGACAATGCTGCCACTAACCCATCTTTGACTGTCTCTGCACTTGACATGAAGCACTTGCTAAACCAAAGACTCGGAGCATATTGGCAGCGCCTATGGGACAGGCATACTGAAAATAAACTACATAATATCAAACTTGAACTTGAAAATTGGCCACCGGTGCCTAAATCATGCTACGGACAAGTAACACTTACCAGGCTACAAACAGGACACACACACAGCACACATGCATATCTTCTGTCTGGTGGTGAACAATCTAGCTTTGACAAATGTGGTGAACCTCTTACAGTTCTCCACATTCTTGTCCAGTGCAGCGAGGTGGATGGTATCGGAAAGAAACATTTTCTACTGCCCTATCGGCAGCAGCTTCCACTGCACCCTTCTATGTTTATTGGTAGGGATGCACTGTTTAAACAAAAATCATTGATGGCATTTTTAAAAGAAATACATGGTTTTCAAACTATATTTCGAGGTGACTCGTAGGACGGCCTCCGCCGGGAGGTTGCTGTTGCGGTGGCCGCTTAGACAGCACCCTGCTTTGTGCCTCTTGTGTTCAAGGGAACTGATGAGGCAAATGTGCTAGATAACATGACAGTCCCAAACTTTTTCTTATTCTTTTACTATGAGTGTTGTCATTAGTCTATAGCTAATCATTTCGCCTCACTCACATTGTTTTAATATATTATGTTTCATCCACCTTAAGGCGAGCAATTTTAGGCCATTATACAGCCCTGTAGCATCATCTCATTCATTGTTATATTCCAAATCATGTCCACTCCTCCATCTTTTCCAAGGCACTCTTTGGCCCAGACATGACCCTTGTGCCATTAAAACCTACATATCATTATCATAAAGAAAGAAAGAGACTTTATAATGAGTGCACATCCAGGCATCGTGCAGGATGTGGAAGTGGTTGGCAAGGTACGATGCAGTGACCATAGAATGGTACAGTCTCCAATTCGCCTAGACTTGAAGAAGGAACGACAGAAACGGATACGCAAGAAGCCAATCAATAAGCTAGCACTGAGAGGGAAAGTACAGGAATTCACTGTAGCTTAAGAACAGGTACTCGGCTCTTAGTGAGGAAACCAACCCTGCGTAGATACAATGAATGATAATCTGACGAGTATCATTACAGAGTGCGCAGTGGAAGTTCGAGGCAGGGTACTTAGACAGGACACTGACAAGCTTTCCCAGGGCACAAATAGTCTCATTAATAGGCGTCATATCATGAAAAGCTCCAGTACAACAGAAAAATAGAACTGGCAGAGCTTTCGAAGTTGATTAATAGGCGTAAAGTATGCGATTTAAGAAGGTATAACAGGGAGAGAATTTAACACACTCTGAAAAACGAAGGAAGAGGCAAAACAGTCAAGGGGAAACTTGGGATAGAGAAAAATCGGATGTATGCACTAAGGGACAAAGAAGGCAAAATAACTACCAATATGAATAGGTTAGTTAAAATAGCGGAGGAGTTTTACAGAGATCTGTACTATAGTCGGGACAACCACGACCTTGATACTATAAGAAATAGCACTAACCCAGATGACACCCCACCAGTAATTATAGAAAAAGTCAGAAAAGCTTTGGGGAGCATGCAAAGAGGCAAAGCTGCTGGTGAGGATAAGGTAACACCAGATCTGCTGAAAGATGGGGGACAGACTGTGTTAAAAAACCAGCCACCCTGTTTACGAGGTGTCTCCTGACGGGAAGAGTACCAGAGTCTTGGAAGAATGCTAACATCATCTTAATACATAAGAAAGGAGATGACAAGGACTTGAATAATTACCAGCTGATCAGCTTGCTCTCTGTAGTATATAAGCTATATACAAAGGTAATTGCTAACAGAGCAAAAAAACATAGAATTCAATCAATCAAACGAACAAGCACGATATGAACAGGCTACTCAACAATCGACCACATTCATACTATCAATCAGGGAATAGATAAATGCGCAGAATATAACCAACTACTATACGTAGCCTTCATAAATTACGAGAAGACGTTCGATTCAGTAGAAATATCAGCCGTCATGCAGACACTGCGCAATCAGGGCGTCAATGACGTATATAGAAACATCCTGGAAGAAATCTGCAGGGAATCAACTGCTACCATAGTGCTTCATAAAAAAGCAACAGAATACCAATCAAAAAGGGTGTGAGGCAGGGGGACACAATCTACCTAATGCTGTTTACCGCGTGCTTACAGGAGGTTTTCAAAAGCCTGGAATGGGAACAGTTAGGGATGAGAGTTAATAGAGAGTACCTTAGTAACTTGCGCTTCGCCGATGACATTGCATTGCTGAGGAACTCAGGGGACGAATTGCAACTCATGATTACGGAGTTAGACAAGGAGAGCAGAAAGGTAGGTCTTAAAATAATCTGCAGAAAACGAAAGTAATGTACAAGAACCTCGGAAGAGAGCAGCGCTTCGAGATAGGTAATAGTGCACTTCAAGTTGTAAAAGACTATGTCTACATAGGGCAGGTAATTACTGCAGAGCTGAACCACGAAATTCAAGTAACTAGAAGAATTAGAATGGGATGGAGCACATTTGGCAAGCACTCTCAAATTATGACAGATAGATTGCCACTATCCCTCAAGAGGAAGGTATATAACAACTGTATCTTGCCAGTACTTAGCTACGGAGCAGAAACCTGGAGACTTACAAAGAGGGTTCAGCTTAAATTGACGACGCAGCGAGCAATGGAAAGAAAAATGGTAGGTGTAACCTTAAGAGACAAGAACAGAGCAGAGTGGATTAGGGGACAAACGGGGTTTAAGGATATCATAGTTGAAATAAAGAAGAGGTAATGGACATGGGCCGCGTATGTAGCGCGTAGACAGGATAACCGTTGGTCATTAAGGGTAACTAACTGGATTCCCTGAGAAGGGAAGCGGGTTAGGGGAGACAGAAGGTTAGGTGGGCAGATGAGATTAAGAAGTTTGTGGGAATAAATTGGCAGCAGCAAGCACAGGAACAGGACCGGTTAAGTAGCACAACATGGGAGAGGCCTTTGTCCTGCAGTGGACGTAGTCAGGCTAATATATATATATATATATATATATATATATATATATATATATATATATATATATATATATATATATATATATATATATATGCGCGTTGCTGCACATCAGTTTTTGCTAAGGTGAATAGAGGAGGCGGAGGGGTCGTACCAGTTTTCAGTGGGGGGGCATGCCCCCCCCCCCTCCTGGCGACGGCCCCCATGCCCCCTCTTCTGGTTCCGGAACCTCTGATAGCCGCTGAGCTTGATAGTTTTTTATGGCAAATGCTTTTTCCTCCCTTCCAGATCGCTCCCGAAAAGGTGGTGAACCGAAGACACATTTACGCTAAACATTCCAAAGCCAATTTTCCCGAAATGCCATGTTATCCACAGTCAAATCAGAAAGAAGACCGTTCGTGCAAATTCACCTTTTCTCGTGTCAAAAACTCACAAAGAAGCGATAGGTTCGGGTTATAGAGTCACAAAGATGAGAAGTGGTGATCTCCTTCTAAAGGTTAGTGACAAAGCTCAATATGAGATCTGTTTGTTGTTAATATGAGATCTGTGTGTGCGCCCACCGAAACATCTGTTTCGGTGGGCGCACACAGGTACATGAACACTGTCCATGGCGTAATTTTCGACGATCTCCTTGAACTTTCTGAAAGTGAACTGCTCAAAGGTTGGCCAGACGAGAATGTAGTCAAGGTGCAAGGAGTATCAATAAGGCGTGACAACCGACTCTTACAAAACACGTAATAATTCCCTTCGGAACCAGTGACCTACCAGAATCAATCGAAACTGGCTATTGTATGCTCCGTGTCACACCATACAGTCCCAATCCTCGTTGATGTTTCAAATGACAAAGCTTCGGGCATGAATAGCAGAGTTGCAGAGTGTGCGCAACTTGCGCAAAGTGCGCATTCATTCAACACATATCCGACAAATGCATTTCAAAAGCAACTCATTCTTCGAACTGTGAAGGATATCACCCTGCCTAGTCACGATCATGCATCGCCGAGGTAGTCTAGAGACTAAGGTATACGGCTGCTGACCCACAAGTTATGGGATTGAATCTCGGCTGCGGCGGCTGTATTATTGAAAGAGGCGGAAATGATGTAGGCCCATGTGGTCAGCCTTTGGTGCACGTTAAAGAACCACAGGTGGTCGAAATTTCCGGCGCCCTCTACTACAGCGTCTCTCGTAATCATATGGTGGTTTTGGGACGTTAAACCCCACTAAATCAATTACTCACGATCATGCCCCACATGTAAATAAGAGAAACAAATAGTAGAACTCAAGTTCACATTCAATCTGTCATTCCAAGAGACACGTTAACGTTCTGCACTACACAACCCGTCTTAACACACCTTTGCCGATGTGACGCGCCGGGCCACCACGCTATACGTTTCTGCACCCGCGACCGTCACACAGAGTCTGGCGGCGGTCGTGCCATCAGCGCCCCCAGCTGGAGCAACCTGTACTGCACCGGCCCCTGGTAAAGATGGTCAGCAGTCTTCAGAGGTACATCAGTGACCCGAGGTACAGCAGACTTCAGAGTCTGCTGTACCTTGGGCCACTGCAGGTGCAGTTAGGTTCGAAGCCACTGTGAAGCTGCCTGCCACGCAGGCACCACCCGCAACCTCACAAGAGGTGATGGACACAAGTCCCACTCCTCCAGCACCCCAGACGCCAATGAATAGGGGCAACTCTTTGGAGTGCCCCAGAAAAGATAAGCGTTTGGTGTGTAGCGCCACAATGGACCCGAGCTAACGGGGGAGTTTCGGCTCCCTCCCACGCCTATCCGTGCGTGGCCTTGCCGTGTTCGGGGAAAAAGGGATCCTGGGGGTTGAGTCAATGCTGGGTGATTGGACCTTTAAGGCCCCCCGGCAGAGGCAACACACCCCTTTGGCCCCGGCTTCACGTAGACGGCACCCTTGGGCTGACCCACCCAGGAGAAATCGGCAGCCGCCTTTTCCTATCTCCCTCTTTCTACATCTTCTTCTTTATCTCTCACTTTTTATCTGTCCTGTCATCTTGTCTTTTCCGTTTACTTCCGAATTTCCTGGCGGCGAGGGTTAACCCTGTGTAGTTACAAGCCTTGGGTAGTTATATTCGGTTATAGCGGCGATGCATGGCTGGCGTCTCCAAGTGTTCACTAGTCCACCTTGTAGCGTCCCCTTGTTGGGCTCGGTGGTGGGTGGCCACCATCGCCGCCGAACTTTATAGTATTTTTATGGCAAAATCTTTCCCCCTTTTCCTGATCGCTCCCTAAAAAGGTGGCGCACCGAAGATACTTTCATGCCTAACACACCAAAGCCGACATTCCCAAAGTACCATGTAATCCACAGTCAAAATGAAAAGAAGACAGTCCAAGCCATTTCACCTTTCCTCGTTTCCAAAACTCTCACAGAAGCAATAGGCCCAGGTTATAAAGTGACAAAGATGGGAAGTGGCGATCTTCTTCTGGAGGTTCCTGACAAGGCTCAGCACGAAAAGCTGTCTAAGCTTGTAGCCTTTGGGGAAACCCCTGTTTCGGTGTGCCCACACAGGTCCATGAACACTGTCCGTGGCGTAATTTCTGATGATGATCTTACTGAGCTTTCTGAAAGTGAGCTGCTCGAAGGTTGGCCGGACCAGAACGTGGTCAAAGTCCAACGAATAACAATAAGGCGCAACAACAAACTGACCCCTACAAAACACGTAATAATTACCTTCGGAACAAGTGACCTACCAGAATCAATCGAAACCGGCTATTGTAAGCTTCGTGTAAGACCATACATTCCCAACCCTCGTCGATGTTTCAAGTGCCAACGTTTCGGTCATAGATCGCAGAGTTGCAGAGGGCGTGCCACTTGCGCAAAGTGTGCATCCATTCAACACATATCGGACAACTGCACCTCAGAAACAACTCATTGTTCGAACTGTGAAGGAGATCACGCTGCCTACTCACGATCATGCCCCGCATAAAAAAAGAGAAACAAATAGTAGAACTTAAGGTTAAATTCAATCTCACATTCCAAGAAGCATGCCAACGTTTCGCAATACACAACCCATCTTATCCCTCCTTTGGAGATGTGACGCGCCGGGGCGCCGCGCCACATGCCTCGGCACCCGCGTCACACAGTGTGTGGCCGCGGTCGCACCGCCAGCGCCCCCGGCTGGAGCAGCCTGTACTGCTCCGCCACCTGACAAACAGGGCCGGCAGACCCCAGTGTCTGCTGAACCTCGGACCACTGCAGGCGCAGTCAGGTCCGAGAGTTCACTGAATGTGCCTGCCCAACAGGCACCATCCACCACCTCACAAGAGGTGATGAATACAAGTCCCGCTCCTCCGGTGCCTCAGACGCCGGAGGATAGGCGCAACTCCTTGGAGCGCACCAAAAAAGAAAAACCTCGAATCACAGCTAGGGCCCTCAAAAGGCCCTGTAAACTAACAAAACACCTCTGTATACACTGCACCACACTATTAAAATGACACAAATACTACAGTGGAACGTCAGAGGACTGTTGAGAAACCTCGACGATATCCAGGAACTTTTACACAAACATACACCTAAGGTGCTGTGCATACAAGAGACACACCTGAAACCTAAACACACCAACTTTTTACGTCACTACGTTATCTTTCGGAAAGACCGGAATGATGCCAATGTGCCATCCGGTGGTGTTGCCATTATAATCAATCAAGGGATTGCATGCACACACCTAACACTACAAACATCCCTTGAGGCGGTGGCTGTTCGAGCAGTTCTTTTGAATAAGCTCGTCACCATCTGCTGTCTCTACGAATCTCCCCAACACCGTCTTGAAAAGCATGAATTCGAGTCCCTCATAGAGGAACTTCCAGAACCTTGTATTCTCCTGGGAGATTTCAATGCACATAGCAATCTGTGGGGTGACTCTCGCTGCGATGCTCGAGGTCGCCTGATTGAACAGCTTCTTTTTTTCTTCCGGTGCATGCCTGCTGAACCGGAAAGAGCCAACATATTACAACATCGCTAACAATACGTACTCAGCAATAGACCTCAGCATAATATCCCCATCACTCCTGCCTCTACCTAAATGGGAAGTCATTAATGATCCATATGGTAGTGACCATTTTCCTATCGTTATCAGCACATCAATAACAAATACATGTCCTGCACAAGTTCCCAAATGGCTCACTGACAAAGCCGATTGAGAAAAGTTTCAAAAAATGACTTTATTATCTTGGACTGACATGGCGGCAAGGAGCATAGAGGATGCTGTATGCTATTTTACAGCTTTCTTGGTCGATGCAGCAACAAAATGTATTCCCCAAACATGTGGACAGTCAAGCAAACGACGAGTCCCATGGTGGAATAATGAGTGCCGTGATGCTCGAAAAAAACAAAATAAGGCATGGAGGTTGCTTAGAGACTCGCCCACAGCCGAGAATCTTGTAAACTTTCAGAACGTCAAGTCGCAAGCAAGGAGGACGCGCCGACAGGCGAGAAGAGAAAGTTGGCACAAATTTGTATCGGGCATTAACTCATACACAGATGAGTCGAGAGTCTGGAGCATGGTTGGTAAGGTGGCAGGACGAGGAGCACATTCGCTTCCTCTAGTGAACACACAAGAAGAGAGTTTGGAAGACCAGGCAAACACTCTCGGAGCGCACTTTGAACAGGTCTCCAGCTCAACACACTATAGTGAAGCGTTCCGACGATACAAAACCGCAATAGAAAAACAGAGATTAGAGCGCAAGCCCAGAACACATGAGGCATACAACGAACCTTTCTGTTTGGCTGAACCACAGGCCTCACTTGCCTGCTGCAATAAATCTGCCCCAGGCCCGGACCGTGTGGCATATGCAATGTTAAAACACCTGCCCACTGAAACCCAGAAAGTTCTCCTCTCTCTTTATAATGCGATATGGTCTTCTAGCGAGCTACCCTCAGCCTGGAAGGAAGCTTTCATTATCCCAATGCTAAAACAAGGCAAGGACCCGGCCTCAGTTTCCAGCTACAGGCCAATAGCATTAACCAGCTGTACTTGCAAAGTCTTTGAAAAAATGACTAACAGGCGCCTGGTGCACTTCTTTGAAATTAGTGGCCTACTTGACCCATACCGGTGTGGCTTTCAAGAGGCTCCGTTTACCACTGACCACCTTGTCCGTATCGAAGCAGAAATTCGCGACGCTTTTCTTCATAAGCAATTTTTTCTTTCTGTGTTCCTCGATATGGAAAAGGCATATGACACTGCATGGCGCTTCGGCATATTGCGAGACCTGTCACATTTAGGTGTGCGGGGTAGAATGCTGACAGTTATCGAAAGCTACCTGTCCAACCGTACATTCCGTGTCCAAGTTGGCACTGTCTTATCTCGAGTATTTGTTCAAGAAACAGGAGTCCCACAAGGAGGTGTATTGAGCTGCACACTTTTCATAGTCAAAATGAATTCCTTGCACCTGTATCTCCTACTACATATTTTTTACTGCATATATGTCGATGAAGTGCAGATTGGTTACAAATCGTGCAACATCTCAATGTGCCAACGTCAAGTTCAACTAGGGTTGAACAAGGTATCTCAATGGGCAAACGAGAATGGTTTTATACTCAACGCGCAAAAGAGCACTTGTGTCTTGTTCAGCCGAAAGAGGGGCCTCCATCCTGACCCCGACATTTACCTGCATGGTCAACCTCTGTCAGTGAAGACTGAGCACAAGTTTCTTGGTCTCATATTAGACACTAAGCTAACCTTCATCCCACACATCAAGTATTTAAGGGACAGGTGCTTAAAATCAATGAACATTTTGAAAGTGTTGTCACGCACTACATGGGGTAGTGACAGGCAATGTTTAATTAACTTATATAAAAGCCTCGTACGCACACGCCTAGATTACGGTGCTATAATCTATCAGTCGGCAACACCAACAGCCTTGAAAATTCTCGGCCCTGTCCACCATCTAGGCATTCGCCTCTCTACGGGTGCTTTCCACACCAGCCCTGTGGAGAGCCTGTACGTGGATTCGAATGAATGGTCGCTCCACCTACAAAGATGTTTCCTGTCCTTTTTGTACTTTTTGAAGGTGAAGGCAGACAAGAAACACCCTTCCCATTTCACAATTAATGATTCGTCTTGTTCTGGCTTGTTCGAGAACCGTCCTTCGTTTAGGCAGCCCTATACGCGCTGCGTGTAAGGAGCCTGGCCGAAGAATTAGGTGTGCCTCTTCTTGAACCCAGTTTGATGGCTCCTGCATCATATCTGCCACCGTGGCAGTGGCAGCTTATAGACTGTGATGTCTCTTTTGTTGATGTCACAAAGCACGCACCACTTGCACACATACATACATACTTCCTAGAACTACAACATAAATACACATGCCCTGAGTTCTTTACTGATGCGTCAAAGTCAAACACTTCTGTGTCATATGCAGCGGTAGGCCAATCCTTTTCCGAGGCCGGCGTTCTTCATCCTAATGCAAGCATTTTCACAGGAGAAGCTTACGCAATACTGGCGGTCGTAAAACACATTAAACAGATAAAATTACAAAAGGCGGTAATATACACAGATTCCCTAAGTGTGGTCAAAGCCCTGAAAACTCCTAAAAAACACAAGAACCTCGTGCTGG